AACTCGGAACTCGGAGAGGCGCCGGAAGAAGGAGCCCGCCAAGAAGACGGTGGGGCGCCCGGGGCCGCGGGCCGGGGTCCCTACCGGGGAGGCCGGGTGAGGGAGGGCGGACTTGCCCGCGGAGGTTACCCTGGGGTTCTTTTCGGCGACATTGTCCCGGACCAGGTGGGGTTAGTAAGCGTGAGGCCCTGGAGAGTTTCGATTTTTAACTCGGAGAGGCGCCGGAAGAAGGAGCCCGCCAAGAAGACGGTGGGGCGCCCGGGGCCGCGGGCCGGGGTCCCTACCGGGGAGGCCGGGTGAGGGAGGGCGGACTTGCCCGCGGAGGTTACCCTGGGGTTCTTTTCGGCGACATTGTCCCGGACCAGGTGGGGTTAGTAAGCGTGAGGCCCTGGAGAGTTTCGATTTTTTAAAAGGCAAACAGTAGAAATTGTGTAGATGACTTTACAGAGCCCATTAGACAACAGTCAGCTGTGGGAATGTATCTCAGTGTGAAGGCCCTGGGTTCAGTCCCCAGTGTGGGGTGGGGTGGGGGTCAGCAGCATTTGGCATCAGGGGTTCCAGGACTGGGGCCACTTCAGGTCTCTCTTTACCTAGGTGACCGTGGCCCATGTGCAGAACGTGTTATTCTTGTTTATAGGCACATTCCTCCTTCCTCATCTCCTGCCCCCCTTGGGGTGAGGGTTGGTAACGCGCTAAGTTCCTATGAGAGTCTGTGTCCCACAGAAGGTCAGGAGCCACTGCTGTTTACAAGGGACAGCGAACTTCCTCTTTTCTTCCTTGACATTTTATTGAGTGTTAACGGTGTACTGTGCCGTCAATGTGTGAAGGAAATCCTCTGGTCCCTCCCCAGTTCCTTGCTTCTCTTGTTGGCCATGCTTGCTCTCCCTCTAAATGCTGAATGCTGCCCACTCTATCCTTCATTGTAAACTCTGGACCTCAGCAGCATAGTGGGGACAGTCACAGGTGCTCACGGTGTTGTGCCAAAGTGCTCTGACCCCACACCTTGGAGACTGCTGTCCATGCAGGTGTCTCTGGCCCCTGCTCTAACTTTGTCTCCTCACATTTTGTTTTCCATGAATCCAAGCTGGATATTTCTTTTAGTGTGCAGTGTGGAAGAAGAAATATAAACAGAAAAATGAATTGACGTTATTTTTAGCCCCTCCAAAACAAAGGTCCTTTATTCTTTAAATAGGAAAATGCAAAGATTAGGGTAGTGTGAGTAAAGAAAAACTCCTGGGTGATACTGGGGTGGTGGTAGACCATTCACACATGCTGTTGTACAGCTGTGATTATTCTTCAGAGGGCATAGAGAGTGCCTCTGTGGCAAGTGTCGTTCTGTCCGGGGTATCCTGGCTTCAGCCCCTGCAGATCTAATGGAATGTCCTCCAAGACAGGGTGTCCCTGGCTCTGAACAGGTTGTGGACTCTGCCCAGTGGACTGTTTATTGTGTTGGTTGATCTCTTTAAGCACATTGTGTTTAACAGTGGGCTCTTTCTGCTTTTCTTCAGAATGATTTTCCAACCAGGATGTCCCTTGTGGTCTGATGCTTTTGAGAAATCTCTCTGGCTAATCAGAAATCAGATGCAGACTGCAGGGACAGGACACAAACCCAAAAGCCAGCAGGCCAGGACTCTCTTTGGCCACCACCTTGGAAGATTTGCTGATCTCTCCTTTGGCAAGGCATAGGAGGCAGCCTCAAAGGGAGGCTGATTACAAACCTCAGTGCTCATCTCACTAGTTTGAAAAACTTACCATGAAAATGATGACAGGAGAGAACAGCCTGCCCACAGTTTACGCTGTCCAACCTCCTTCCTTGGCAGAACTGGGATTTCGCTTCCAGTTCTGAAAGAGTTAACTCTGGACCACTGATCCCTGGAAATTATCTATGCCTACAGTATGTCTCTCTTCGTTACTTGGAGACAGAAGAATTCATTACTGTGATTAGGTGAAGGCCCACTGCTGACAGGAGGAGCACTTCAAGGCAGAACACACCTTTTATCCCCATCACTTCCTGGGCACTAGTCAGTGACTGTGGTTACACTCAAGTCAGAAAGCCTTTGGTGCATTCAGCAGTGGCGACCTCCTGGACAATCACAGAAACGACTGCAGTCTGCTGTTCTGAATCGCAGCTCTTGAGTGGCTGGGACAAAGCAAGAAAATACCATTTTGAGAAGCGGTCTGAGCAGTATCCCTTTTCTATTCTGAGGATGTAAACTGCTTTTCCCTTCCTGCAATACATGTCAACATCTGAGTCTTGAACCGTAAGGGCTCTTCTTTTGCTCTCCTCTCCTCTCCTTTTCTCTCCGGGACTTCCTCCTGGTTGGTGCCATGCACAGAGCCCCACCTCCATCTGCACTCTGATTAGTTTGTCATCAGGTGCCTTTTTCTAAATGCTTTAAACACAACACATGAAGGAGAAGTGATTAAGAAAGAAGAGAATGCAGTAATGCAAGATAGAAAAGAATGACAATAATTTAAGAGGAGAATACTATGTGATCCCATCATATTGGAAATGTAGGTCATTTTCCCTAGAAATGCCATCTAGTCTTTTCTGATTTTGTACTTCATTGACCATAAGTTGTCTGCCATCCTGGTTCTGCCATTGCAGGACACTGGAGATGCGGAGTCTGGATCTCGTGCCCTCACTGGAGGGCTTTTGGAAGATGAAAAGGATATGGCCTTCCTGGATGGAGTACTTCCTATTCCTACCCTTGCCTAAATGGTAGGTTCTGCCTATGTCCCAAAGAGAGACCTCTCTGGATTTTCTAATTTGTGTGGATTACAAAAATGGCCACAAACTCTTCGTTCCTCATTAAGAGGTACAGTTTTTCCCTCATCTTTTGAACCCGGGAGATTGCCATGTGATTTGATGTAGCCAGATGGCCCAATAGAAAATAGTGACATAAACAGAGACTTGGAAAGTTCTTGTGCATGGGGATTGTCCTCTCTTGCTGCTCTTGGGAACCTTGCAGTCACCACCTTATGAATGAGCCTAAACTATCCTGCTGCATGATGAGAGAAAAGGGCATAGTTACCCCCGTCACCCTGTGTGACAGTTTATCAAGTCTTAGCTCATTGTAGACACGTGAGAATCCAGCCAAGATCAACAGAAAAACTGCTTAGCTGAGCCCAGCCCAAACTGCTGATTCCTACTTGAGGCATGGATATCAGTGTTCTCATCTTGTTAGAATGTTCAGCCCTGAATATCTTACTCCATCCATCCTTAGGTGTCTTACAGCCTCCACTTTCCTTGGTCGACTTCATCTTTTCACCTTACACTATTATGATGGGACACATTGTTGGGTGTGGGACACCCTCCCCTCACTGGAGGGGGAGGATGGACTTGCTATCCCCTGACGCAGCAGTGGTCCCTTCCCTATTTTTGGATCCATGGACAAATTCTGAATGTTGATCAGCATCTCCCAGGTCTTCTCCAGGGCCATCAGTCCAGACCTTCAAAGTTACCATTCCAACAGTATCCATTGTACCTCATGGTGTTTCCAAAAAGTCCTATGTGTGTAGGGTTACAAAGTAGTGGCTGGGTGAGGGTCAGAGGGAAGAGCTGATGTTGTTGCTTGGAGAATTGGCCTACGAAAGGCCTTTATAATTGCTTTGGCCTGTCCTACAGGAACCAGAAGTACAGTTCAGCCCAGTGCTGGCACTTCCAAGGGCTTGAAGACACATGCCATAACACTGGTGCTGAGTTTTAGACATACTGGTGTCCCTGTCCTCGAAGAGTTGGTCTGTTTTGGTCCCAATTCACATGGAAAATATGATAAACACACAATTTCTTAGTCACCAGCTTTGGATTTCAACTTGCTCAGGCAATTTTGGAGAATACTGGTTAGCTGCAGTAGCTATTATTGATTTATACTGAGCACTGTGTCCGGCTTCTCACCACCAAAGAGCCCCAGAGCACCAGCTGCAGAGACCAAATATATTGCTTTCTAAAGTCCGGGGCGTGTATCATTTTGGTGAAAGTTGAGGAGAACAATGGGAAGAACGACTAACATTGGAAACTTGTAATTCCTAAGACGGCGAGAGTATAGACAGACAATAAAACACACACACACACACACACACACACACACACACACACAGAAGGTAGTAAGCTATTAAAACAACCTGGGGTGGGACCAGCTTGTTTTCTGTAAGGCTGGATGAATCAGACTTCCATTCCTTCAGCAGACAGAAAAAGCAGTTTTTTTTTCTGGGTATGTGGACAAGACGTACAACTGCATAGAGAAGGCAAAGTTGACTACCCTCAACACCCCTGGCTTTTTTCTACACGCCTCTTCGCTCCTTCTTCCCTGTGTAGTGTGTCCTGCTTAGGAAGTGCCTATACTGCCTAGCTTCCTTTGTAGGTTTTATTGGGGTATAAAATAAGTCTTTGTGAGTCATGGTCTCTGTCCACTGGAACCCTGGGGAAGCAAAACATGCCCAGGAAAGAACTAGCAGATTCTTACGCACATGATAGCAAATAGTGCTATGGATCGATTACAATATACCCAGAGATTTAAAGGTTTTTAAATTTAAATGGGAATATTTTGATATTTAAGTGTTGTGTTTATGTCCATCCATCCCACTTAAAGATGTGACCAGTTATCTGAAAAACCAGTCTACAGAAGTCTGAGCTGAAAAG